CCCCGTCCCTCAACCCACACCAGCACCGCGAATTTGAGGGAAAAAAAAAAAAAAAAGGAAAAAAAGAGACACCACCACGCAGACACCCGCACACGCCGCTGGCATCGCCGCGCCCCGCAAACACACGCAGCCCCCGCGGCCGCGGCCCCGGCCCCTTCCTTCCCGCAGCAACGCCGGCCCCCTCCGGATTCTCCGCACAAGCCTGGCCGAACAAACCCGTCCTTAAGCACATCCAGGCTATAGCGCTACGTTTGTTTTTCTGGCACATGGCTCCGTCCTCCATAACCCTCCCCAGAAATTTTGAAAGAAAACAGCAGAAGTCTTTCATTGTTAACATTTGATTTATTTAAAGTCCTTAACTGCAAATGATCAAAAACATACTTCACGCATTAAATTCTCAGTTATCGTTTTAAATCAAAATATTTTTTCAATTACAATCACATTTATAAAATTAACAAAATTTCTTAAATTCACGTGTAATTCTTTTTTTTACTGTCATTTAAAGCAATTTCCAGCTGTAAAGAAAGAAAAAATATAAACCATGCAATAAATTAAGAACATTGAGACAGCGAACAGGAATAATAATAAAACCCGTCTGGCTATGCTAACAGCGTGTAAAACTGTGGAAAGTGCATTAACACTGGATGAAACAAGCTAACGATGGCGATAATTAAACGGCCACAAAAAATGAATGTGGGATTTATTAAGCAAGTTGGAAAAGGGGAGAGAAACGGAGGTCTCCTCTTTTCCTTGCGTCGGTGTAATAGTCAACGTTTCCTGGAGGAGGGGGAAAATAACCTTGTTGCACAGTTCTAGCTGGTACACAATGAAGACACTTAAATTAAATAAGCATGTCATCCACATGTTGATGAGAGTTCCTGATGAACGAGAATCTTCAGTAACAGATGGGAAGGAAAAAAATATCCAACTGGCTGTGACCTCTTGTAACTTTATATTACATCCCAAGACAGGTAACACTTGGAAAAAAATAATAAGGGTCGCATCCTGCACTCCAAAGCTCCAGTTGGTCCCCTCGGGAGTGCAGGATCCAGCCCGCATCATCTGGGTGTATGCGGGTTGTACTAGCCGAAGGTTTATTTTGCAAGTATCAAAAGGATGATCCGAGAAAGTAAATAGTCCTCTTGTTGCTTAGAGATTCTCTTAGTGTTTTGCTACTTCACAGCAGTATTGTCCTTCAAAGCCTTTTTAATTAAAAAAAGCCTTAAACGTCTACTCTCTTCTTCATCTCCGTATTGTTAAAGTATTGCCACATACCTGTAAACTTACATGAGATTATAGAGCACAGAAGGGGGGCAAACGAGGGGGCGAAAAAGCACAAACAAGTAGTTTACAAGCTCAACAATTTTTCCCTCTTTTTTAATAACACCCTGCAAAGGCAAGGGTGGGATCTCCGGGGAGAGGGGTCGGGAGGGGGTATGTACAAGCGGGACGCGGTCGGCTTTGCAGGGGGTCATGGTGGATCATAACAACACCAAACGCGTTGCGAGACAAAAAGTAACAGTCCTTTGCACGCAGCGTGCGGAAACACCTCGGTTTGTCGCAAGGAGAGGGGAAACGGGGGAGAGAAGCCAGGAAAGGAGAACGGGGAGGGTGGAGAGGGGCTCACCCCCGGCGGTGGGGGGTGCGGAGCTAGGAGGTGTTTAGCACGGGTCTGGAATACACACCTTGGTAGTACGAGGGCTCTAGGGCCGAGGGCTCGATGCTGCTCCGGCCCGCCATGGAGGTGCT